AAAGCGTTTGATCGCTTAAACCATCGCATTCTCCTTCAGAAGCTTCGGAATTACGGCATTGGCGACCTAATCCTGAGTTGGATTGACAATTTTCTACAAGAACGACGGCTAGTGGTGAGAGTCCGAGAATTATTTTCTCATTCAATCGATGGGGCGTGTGGAGTACCACAAGGCTAGGTTCTTGGACCTCGTCTATTCTTGGTGTTCATTAACGATTTGGCGAAAGCAATTACTTCCGATTTCCTATTTTTTGCTAATGATATCAAGATATGGCGAAGGATCAGAGGACCGGACGACCATGAACGGCACCAGTGCGATCTTAACACAGTGTAGAACTGGTCAGTTTAAAACGCCCTACCATTCAACGTAGACAAATGTCGCGTTGTACAATTACGCCATAAACATAACTACACCTATTTACTTGGGACACACGCATTGCAGACCAGCTCCCAGGAACATGACCTTGGTGTGGTCGTACTGAGCGACCTCAACTGTTCAAAACAGGCTGAGGTAGCTGCGAAAAGAGGCAACCAGCACGTCGGCATGCTGCGAAGAGCATTCGGGATATTTGACCCATCAGTCTTCTCAATGATGCACAATTCCTACGTGCGCCCGCATGTTGAATATGCTATCCAAGCTTGGCAACCTTGGTTGAAGCGCGACCTAGAAGCGATAGAGGCAACACAACGAAGAGCAACAAAGAATGTAAAGGGTTTGGAGGTTTGCTTGAGGGAATCCACCCGGAGCCTTTGGCTCAATAGCCTGACCCACAAGGCAGTGTTGAACAGATCCGGCTGAGGAATGTGATTGCAGACACATTGGGATCTGCATGACGGCTGTCACACGCAGCCTTTGAGGTACTGGAACGATGTATATATGTTTTGTAACCGTAGTAGGATACACCTGCGATCACGGCCAAACGCAGGTGGGTTTTGGCGGGTTTGCACCCATTTGACCAGGGGCTGGCTGGATTGAGACGGACAGTAGCAAACCATGGAGCACCCGGAGATGTCCTCCCACCGTCAGAGACAATGCGTGGAGCTCATGCTCTACGCCAATCGAGCTGTGAACTTATAACCCGTAGACCTGTTGTCTCGCATGGCTAGGCTTTACGGGAAGAGGGCCATCGACCACTTCCTAACCTCCGAAAAGGATGGATTAGGATGCTGCCAGGGCACCCACTCCTGACAGGAGAACGACTCGGGTCCTCAGCCAAAGCCTTCGATTAAAGGAACACCCGAAAGGCAGTGGGTGTAGCATATGGTCAATTCACTGACTCATGCGGTTTGGTGTCCTGGATCTTAGCAAGCAGAAGGGGGTAACCCAGCTCCCACCCATCGGTCGACACGAGGAGGCGTCCAGGACATGAGCCAATGGTACAACAGTAGTATCAGTGGGTAGAGCATCTATCAGGATCTAGTCATCACAAGCCTCAGCGAACCATAGGCTTTCTCACATATATATATATATATATATATATATATATATATATATATATTGATTGAGCACCGTTTGCAGACAACTGATTGTCACATCGGAGATATCAATCAGAAAACATATGTACTGCGAGAAAACACACAGACGATGTGAAAATGTGTTGTCTGCAAACGGTGCTCAATCAGTAATCTGATGACCTACTATTTCTGAAGCCCGTTTATCTTAACCGAATTGGACGTTGAAAATGCATCCACTCTTCGTAATGATTGGAGTGTTAGTGGAAGTAATCCTCTCTCCCTTTATTTTCTTTATACATCGAAATGATTCCCACTCCCTCTCAGCTTATTAGATTGGAATGCGCTGAAGATGCTACGTTAGGCCACTGATGACTCATCTATACGGCGCTTAAAGTGTTTTGCAGGAACTTGGGTGGTTGTTGTCGTCGTCCCGTTCCCTTCTTCACAATGCCTCCATTCCCTTTTTCGCGCTGACAAACTTCGGATTTTGACAAACACTTTCCACCCCCTGGTCGTCAGCGGCCACATGTTTTGCTGCTTTGACTGCGGTACTACTATTTTACCTACGGTCCGCTCTGCCTAGCACCCAATCCAAACGTGAAACGAAAAGCAGACGATGTTTATTCTATGCAAAGGACGGTTCGATTTGTAGGTCAACCATACATTATTATTATTATTGAAACCGTGATCTCCCAATTTTATCGTCCTTGCCTTAACCAATGCGAACACGTTCTACTTGCCTGGTTTGCAACATTTGGCCGTTTGTTCGTGTTAGAACACGGCCCTCGTTCGCTTAGTCGACGCGCATCCGAGTTTGCCAGCCAGCCAGCCACTCACAGTTCCAGTCGATCACCGATTCCCGTGTCCGGTGTGAAGATCGTTCAAGCTTCCGGCACTGCCTAATGTTGTCGTAACGTTTTGCGTGGGTATTCTCATTACTTTTATCCGGCCAATACACATCATACCCCCCAGTTCACTCACTGTTAAGTCACCTTGGTGTATTTTATCACACAACCTAACATCATGACCAACACATGTTAACAAAACATCCCGCATACAAAGAAGAGTATCAATTTGTCCTGCGAATCAAAATGCTTTCGGTACCTTGCTCTTCAAGTAGTGGCAGCTTGGCTGTACTGTTCACCTGCAATTTTCTCTTCGAAAATGGCGCTACAATGTTTGTGAGTTCCAGCAAACTCATGTCCAGATGCATTGGCCTGCCCAGGGTCTGTGGTAGAGTTCACTGTTACTAAGCATTTCAGCGTATGTGACAACTTTGATCTCTTTCATGTTTTGCACTATGATTTATCGACTCTTTCCTTGTTCGTTTACAAGCGTAGAATTTACGGGTTCGGTTTCCCCTTACCGTACATATTACATTTTCTCGTGAACTCAAAGAAAGTCGAGGGTACCACGCGTGAATGTTTACATGAGTGGCATACATGCATATTGTACATTTCACCAGCTGCTTGTAATTTTAAATTCATGTCGTCTGGTTACATCTGCAGAGCCAATGTAAAACGCTGATAAGTTTTGTGCATGAAGCTTTTTTTCTGGAAGAACATAGTACTTATCTCCTTCATGGCAGTGAGGCGGTTTGAGAGGCTGAGTCGTGTTTAGGTCTGGTGACACCAACATGTCGACAGGGTTGAATTATGCGGATGGTGATCAGGATCGTGCTCTAGTTACCATGGAGAGACCTGTTTTGTTTACCTAACCCCGGATGGATAAAAGTCTCTCCTTAACCTGGAAACGGAAAGTGAAGTCACCGGTCGTTAACATGGGTGCATTTTGCGTCAGTTTCATTCTTCAGATTGAGATCCACACGACCCGCTGTGTTTGATCCGAAACGCTACCGGACATGGCTCACGACCATCGCCAACGGTGCGTTTTCCGCCTCTACCCCGAGGGCCACACACCAAAAGTGGGTAATGACGCTGAAGTATATATGAGGTAAGGGCTAGTGAAAACTGCAAGAATGTATTATCGCTGATGACGTCTTATCGCAAGACAGGTAGCTGCTCGTAGGATGTACGTGCCTTAACGCTAAAAGGTCACTTAGGTAACTGAAGGTTATAACGCAGCCGTCCGTTCAATTCTCCTATATGGTTGTGAAACTTGGCCCTTCAGGTCAACAGACAAAAAAGGCTCGTCATATTCGATCATCGCTGCCTTCGCAGCTTAGTGCATGTCTGGTGGGCGTACCGCGTGAGCAATGAGCGTGTTCGGCGTCGCGTATTTGGTGAAGGAAGAGCGAGTGAACCGCTCAGCAACATTATATCACGCATCAGGCTCCGATGGATGGGTCACGTGTTGCGCATGCCAGCGAACCGACTCCAGCGACGTGCATTGTTTGCGCGCCAGGGGTACGTTTGGAAGAGGAGGAGGGGAGGCCAAGCGATGACAGTCGAGAGAGATGAAAACCCTCACTTCGAAACCGTCGTCGGTTGGTTCATCCTGACTGCCTGACTGGGGCCCTAAGGACGATGAACACGTTTGGTTGGACGCTGACCCCAATGGCGTTTGTGTTGTGAGTTTCTTTGTTCATTCCTCTCCAATCACGATCTCACTCGTTAGGCAAAATATAACTTGTTGCGGCACCGCAGTCGACAGTCGGAACGATGTCCATCCGTGACTGGGGCCTCAGCCAGCGTGCCTCTGTTGTTGCCTTTCTTGTATTTTGTATTGCGGCACAATAGTTGAGGTGTTTTCAATCAGCAGCTAAGGTGTAGAATGAATGACACGGCTTCTTCGATCTCCTGCTATTACTCATTCCCAGGTTAATTATTGTCTAAATACAGCGAAGTGTCAGTGCACGGTATAAATGTGCGGCCACACATTAAACTGCAAATATCCTTTAGCGATATAGTCGGTGTCTTATCGGGCGAACTAAACTGAAGGTTCCATGAGAGACAAAATGCTCTATTACGATGCCATGTGGAATAAAAGGGTTGACTAGTTTGACGACGAAGGCGATACATCAGCGGTAATTGGAATTATCATGAGAACACGAATGTTCTGTGCTTTAAAGCGTGGATGTCAGCCTGCTGGTTGATATGCTGAACAGGCTCACTGCACTAAACTCGAACTTCTGATCAAATGCTATGTTGTCTGTTACGCGCCGAAGCACGAATTACTACGAACAGTAGCATATCTTAGGCATGATAGTTACGTCGAGGAGTGCACACCAGGATGTAAACAGAAATGGGCGTACATGTGAGAGACAGGAGCGAGAGTCATCCATAACTGCTTTTGGTCAGAAAGTAAAAAATAAATGAAAAAAACAGGTTGGTCCTACGCACTTTAAGTTGAGATGGCCTTTTGAAAATAAGTTACTCCTTGATTGTCGGAGTCCAAGATCGGGCGAATAGCGGCGATGATTTATGCGCACAGAAAACAGATAAAGAAGCGGCCCATTCAAACGTTACATCTGTGCGTATATCAGATGGATGACTGCGACGACCGCACCAAAACTGTGAAAGCCACCAAACAGATATAACATCTGGAACCACCCCATTTGTGCGTACTTGAAAACAGCCAAAATATTCAAGTTACTTTATGTTGCAGAATTGTACTAACATGGGCGCGATACAAATCTTCAAAAGTAAGGCCCAGGTATCGGACCGCAATCAGATTCAAACAACCGTAAATAAGTCCGGGGACGAATGCGATCAGACCAGCTGCAAACATTTGCCTGCGACCTCTATACATGCAGTAGATGGAGCATGTGGCACCTGAAATGGATGGAACAGGAGAGAGATTGTGGTGACGCGTTTGGACGAAAGTCTCTGCAGAAAAGAGCACAGTTGCCGATGAAACCAGTTGTATTGTCCTGTGAATTCAACTGTCCCATTAAGGAAATGAAAGCTGAGAATATTTGGAGCGAGTATTCATCAAAAACGCATCGTGGCGGATTCCATTTTGCTATTTATCGCTACTGGGATTGGTACGCTTAGTACGCATCGAAGGCTCTACGTATGAAACATGTTTTATACAGGAATCACTCGTCAGATGAGATGTTAAATTAAAGAGCTGACTTCATCTCCGACTCAACCCTATGGAAGCAGTAATGAAGCGGGCCTGATCGGCATGGGTGGTGGCCTTGAGCCTAGAGATCGTGGACCGCCAAAAACCGCCCGACGCTCCAGCGGCCAACGCTATTCATCTTTTTGAACGTCTGTGAATCATAAGTATTGATCTACGAAAAACGAATCCCAAAGTCAATGCAATGAGGATCAAGAGGGAAAATACTGAAAGACGTACGCACCCCATCCGACCGCGTATTCCCAAAAGCTCGACCTTCCGTGCATAGTGCTGAGCACGAGTGGGAGGGCGCTGCAACGAAACAGGAAGACATAGGCAGCAATGCACAAATGATATCCAATCGAATACTATCTCTTCCAGATCAACTCTACTCTTTCCAAAATGACTGTGATGTGGAAGAAACCGGTGCGATTGTGGACGAATATCCTCACTTGCCAAGACAGTAGCGAACCCACTTCGGGACACTAAATGGGGAGGGAGCATTGTGGGAGGGGGGCAGTTCATCAGGACCGTTCACCTGGACTCTTCTGAAAAGATGATCTCACAATTCCCACAGCTATTAAGCCAGTTCAGTTCTTATGGGGGGTTTTCCATGCTTTTCTTCCACGTTATTGGCCACGTCCGGATTTCACGCGAACAGGTGAAACATTGACAAACAACACGTGCGGAGCCCATGGCTTAGCGCCAGCGGAAGTGGCTCGAGTTTAACAGGCACTCTAATGAGGTATTACTTATTCCATTCTTCCATTGGATATGAGTAATAATTCGCAAATATCGGCGCTAAAACGTGAGCATCTCTTGATGTCCTCAGCACACAACAGCCAGCACAACACCTGTCACACCAGTGTCTTAAACAACCATTCTCGTAACTACAATGTTTGTATCCCGCGGTGCTCGACAACCGAAAGATGTCAATTCATGATAATTCATGGTAGAGCACAACATAGTGGAATACACTTGGCCAAACAACCTGATGGAGAGACTACAGGTCTGTCGTATATTTGAGTTAGCCATGCAATAAGCCGATCGTCCAATGCAGCAGGGCACCCTTTCGGATGTCCATGTAAACATGTGACCCTAGATGGCTTGAGGTCATCGATTACGCTCTGTGAAATCGACAGAAAAATTATTGGACTACAAACGACGTCTAAAGAAACAGCGTGTTGTGTGTGTAAGGGAGAAAATTTACCCAACACTTCGTGCAGGTGATAACAGAACAAACGCAAAAGTAGAAACCGAGAAACATACTAGCAGCCAGTGGTTAGAAAACAGACTTTGAAACCGGTAGTCAAGCCAAGCGTAAGAGCCCTCAGCGAAGCATAGTCCGCAGCGGCACGCTAAAATGATAAGGGGGGGACATTTGAGAGAGTTACAGTTTCGCACGTCGACAACCGAGTGGCAGCCATAAACTAAGAGAGATGTCAATACCCATGAAGAGTGAAAGTGGGGGGGAGCGAGGGACCAAACTCAAAACGTCAAAAGCAAGGGGGGACGGATATACCTTGCGAACACGACACGGGCACGAGTAATTGTACATGGTCGACTGGAATTCGCGGCCCTTCTTTGCAATATAACATGCAACCTAACGTGAACGAATGACACTTGAATGGATTGGAACACTGGTATAGTGTGAGTAAAAAAGGGAATGCTTAACAAGTCCTGTAGGATGACCAGAATGAGCACCACAACGGGGTGAACAGAAAACAAAGTGATAAAATAAAAAGTGTTTTGGTGCACTCATCGCACTGTTCCCACAGCGGGATGCAAAAATGAGCCAAACTCCATTGTGTGTAGGTTAGTGCAGGTTGTGCAACGTTCGTCACATTATGTCGTCTGTCGGCTACATCTCGAAATGTGGGTGGGTTAGGGTAGCGTCATGTGTTTTAAATACATGATAAAGTGGGGGCAGAAATAACGTAATTTTGGAGAGCGTTCTATGGCTGGCACACATACGAAGAGAGTAAAAGTTTCGCCGACATTCCAACCGACTGTAGTTCGTCACTAACTTGAGTTGGTGGGCCCTCAAATTCGCCTTGTGATTAAAGTGCATTAGGTGGCGGCAGACGTGGTTGGAGTTCCTTAAAATTTAGTAGGTCATTATTAGGTCGCCACGTAGGCGCCGATATCGGTCGCTGTACGATCTTAGGGTTCTCAGCCTAAGTTGATATTGAAGATGGAACAACTCTGATGTACTGTGTGATTCTTCGCTGGGGAGTCTCGAGTGCTGCGAGATCTTGCTTGTGCCAGGGCTGCCAGGTCTGGATTGCGTATTCCACATAAGGCCGCACGTATGTGTTAAGCAACTGCGAACAAACAGAGGGATCAAACCGCGCGAACGTCCTTAGCAGCATAAGTATGGGGGAGTTGATGCGTCTATTCTCGAAAAATGCGCCGTAACGTGGAGTTTAGGAAGTATTTCGCGGCAGTTCACCAAAAAGTACGAGGAATGAATTTGTTTCAGTCCATATCCAAGGCAGCGCGCACCAATAGTATGCGCTGATTTCTACCTTTTGTTGCACCATAATCACCGTACTAACGGGGGAGGAGTGGAGAAACGTGACGTAATGCGTGCACTTTGTGAACACCGCGCAGTCATCGCAGACAGCTGTCAAACAGGTGAGTAGAAGGCAGTAACGGCAAAAAAAACAACCGCCCTCCCTGGTCGGGGAGAGTTTAGAGACACATATTCTGGTAATAAAAAACCGAAGAAGAGCATCCTCAGTCAAAGCCTTTGACTTGACGTACTGAGCGAAAAACTGTGGATGTACAGCAACGGCCACACAGAGAAGGCATGCATGACACCCTCATACGCTTTATGACCAGTGTGAACCCAGGCGGAATAAGACTGGGGCTACACACCATCTGCCATCGCAATGAGACTGGACCTTACCGTGGTGCGATGGTTTGTGTGCCTCAGCGAGCCATTGAGCTATACTGGGTGGTGCTTTTCGCACCTTCGGAGCCAATCATACCAGATTGGTCAATGGTTAGAGGCCAGACAAACTCAGCCTCCTGGTTCTCCAGGTTGTGGATTGGAATGAGGGTGGATCCTGATTCCTTAAAACGGACTCCTTGTAGCCCAGTGCCAAACCCGCTGCCTTGCGAACAGGTTTTTGAAACAAAGACTTTGGTTGAGAACCCTAATCGTTCCCCTGTCTAGGCCTGGGCAACCTGACAGTATCCTGCCCACGCAATACAATGAATCTCACTTCAAACAAATTGCTGATGCTCTGGCCACCGCCGAGGATAATCAAAGTTGCCCTATCTGCTGCATCGAGCAGGGTGGATAGGGGTTTGGATGCTACTGCTCAAGCCTTCCCATCTTCTTATTCCCCTTCTTGCGCTTTTTCACCCTTATCGTCCCGTTCCAGCTTCACTTTTATCCCCCTGTTTTCAACCCCCCCAATTCTCGGCCCTCCCCCACCTTGCTTCAATAGTTGCTTGTCTTTTAGTTTCAACTCACATGTGAACGCAGAGCGTCATTCCTGCACTGTCAACAGGCCCATGTCCAAGCAAGCGGTCAAGCCCAGTTCATCGGCTTCCATTTAGAGCCCTCGATCCTCCTTCAGACTCGCATGCCTCAATGTTCGCACACTGCTTCAGATCGGTCAACAGGCAGCACTTGCCCGAACACTAGAGACCCTATCGATTGATATCTGCTGCTTATCGGAGACCCGCCTTCAAGACTCGAGCTCTGTACTCACTCTGCGATCCCCTTCAGGTGACACTAGCAGCACTTTCTCATTGCGCGTATCCGGTGACGATGCAGCTTCGAGCACCGGCCAAGCCGGTGTTGGTATTGCCCTGAGTCCCCGGGCTGAAAGTGCTCTGGTTGATTGGATTCCAATCAGTAGCCGGATGTGTGCGGTCCGATTGGCTGGCTCGTTCAAAACTTCGAAGTCGCGTGTGACTAACAGGTGTCTATTCGTTATCGCTGCCTATGCACTGACAAACTGTAGCGATGACTCGGTAAAAGACGACTTCTATCGTCAACTGAACGAGCTCCTTCGCCACAGAAGAAGCTCGGACACTGTAGTGCTTGCTGGGGATCTGAACGCTCAAGTTGGAAATTTATCCACAGATGAGCTGCATCTGGGCGGCCAACATGGTATAGGCTCCCGTAATGATAACGGTGAGCGGTTACTTCATTTGTGTGAGGATGCTCGCTTGTTTCTTGCGAGCACTAATTTCCGACACAGCACCCGCCGGAGGGTGACTTGGCGCCCACCAGCATCGAACCAGCGATGGACGCAAATCGATCACATTGCTATCAGTTACCGCTGGAGAGGCTGCGTCCAGAACTGTCGCTGGATTTGGAGCACAGGTGTTGACACCGATCATGCACTTGTATGTGCTGACCTGCGGATGCGCTTTGGTGGACGTCCGCGACGATGTTGTGAGCGCATTGACACCGGCAGACTGGTGAACCCAGCTGTTCTGAACGCCTATCAAATTACGCTGTCATCCGAGTTGGATAAACGCTCACTGGATGCAATTGAAGCTCACTGGTCTCATATGCAACAGGCCTTACTAGCAGCAGGCAAATCCTCATGTGGTATGTCTAATCGCCAACATGGACATTGGGTCTCTTCACAGTCTCTGGAACTTATAGATGCTCGCCGGCATATTCCGGCTGGAAGCGAACAGAATGAAACTCGCAAAGAGCTCCGAGCAAAACTCCGTGCTAGCCTGAAGAGAGACCGCGAATCCTGGTGGTCTCGTCGTGCAACAGAGATGGAAATGGCCGCTGCCCTTGGTAACCATCGTGAGTTATTCCGTCTTATACGGGAAACGGGCAGCAGGAGACCCGGTGTTAGTGAAACTATACGTGACGAGAGTGGACAGCCTATCCACAACATATCAAAACGTCTGGAACGTTCGGCTGAGCACTTTGAAATGCAATTTAATCGGTCGGAATTGTTAGATTTCTCGCTGACCAGTGATCGCCCCACTCCCTGGGCTGTACCTTTGGATCCACCCTCTCGCTCAGAAGTCGAACATGAGATCAAACTGTTGAAGTTAAATAAATCCGCCAGCCCTCTTCAAATTCGGGGGACCTGCTCTTGTGGATGATTTACACGAGTTACTCGTGAGACTGTGCGCGCAGGAAACTGTCCCAACCGATTAGAGCCGCTCCATCATAGTCCCAATTTTCAAGGGTGGCTCACGATCGGAATGCGGCAGCCAAAATCAGTCTGATCTCCATCGCCTCCAAATTGCTTGCCTCTGTCATCCTTCACAGACTGACTGGCACTCGTGAAAGCCAGATTCGTGAAGAGCAAGCTGGATTTCGTCAAGGTCGTGGCTGCATTGACCACATCTTCACCTTGCGTCAGTTGTTGGAGCACCGTCACACATACTGGCGGCCCACCGTTGTCGTGTTGCTCGATATCAAAGGTGCATTCGATTCGGTGGATAGACATGCACTTTGGGACTGTCTACTCAGGAAAGGTGTGCCTGAGAAATATGTGAATTTTATCCGAGCATTATATGCGCGTAGCTCGGGCAGAGTGAGGGCTTACGGCAAGTTGTCGTCGCCCTTCAATATCTCCAGCGGCGTGAGACAAGGATGCCCGCTGTCACCTTTCCTCTTCAACTTCGCTGTTGACGAAGTCATGGAAATCGCGTTCACAGGACACGACTTAGAAGGTGTGGAGCTACTCCCAGGAGAACGACTTCTTGATTTAGAGTATGCTGATGATATTGCCCTCATCTGTGACAGCTCACAAACGTGCCAAGCGGCACTGGACAGATTAGCACTAGCTGTTCGTCACTTCGGGCTTTGCTTCGCACCTTGGAAGTGCAAAGCGTTTCTCCAAGATTGGTCTGGACCGCCTCCTCCGCTGACCCTTGGTGGGGATCAGCTAGAAGTCGTTCAGAAATTCAACTACCTGGGAAGTTGTATCAGCGCCCGTGGGATTGAAGATGAAATCACGAATCGTATAGCAAAAGCTCGGGGCGCTTTTGCTAACCTTCGCCACTTATGGCGCCGGCGCGACATCACTCTTGCCCTGAAGGGTAGAGTGTACAATGCAGCAGTACGTTCGACCCTATTGTACGGTTGTGAAACCTGGCCGCTTAGAGCAGCGGACCTGAAGAGGCTAGTTACGTTCGACCACCGGTGCCTTCGTAATTTAGCTCACATTTGGTGGGAACACCGCGTGAGCAACGAGCGTGTTCGACGCCTTGTTTATGGCACAGGAAAGGGAAATGAACCGCTCAGCACCGTTATTTCACGCATCAGGCTCCGATGGCTCGGCCACGTGTTACGCATGCCAGCCCACCGACTTCCGCGACGTGTGTTGTTTGCGCGCCGGGGGTGTGGATGGAAGAAGAGGAGGGGTGGCCAAGCGATGACTTGGTCCAGAGGAATGAAGACCCTCACTTCTGAGCTGGCCTCGGTTGGAGCGTCTCGGCTCCCTGGTTCGGGTCCGAAAGACGATGACCACGTTTGGTTGGACACACTTGCTGATATGGCAAGGAGCCGACCTCAATGGCGTTCGTGCTGTGAGTTTCTTTGTCCCACCCCATCCCTCTTAGCCTCCTTATCCAACCACGAGCTCATTACTTAGCCTTATATAATTTTGCATAATAATTATTTTTTGGGTGCACAGCAGCCGGCTGGAAGCTTACCGGAACGATGCCCATCCGTTACCGGTAGCTCAGCCAGCTTTCACCAGTTGTTATTTTTTCTCTCCTTTTTTCTTTGTATTGCGGCACAGTAGCTGAGGTGTTCCCCACCTCTAGCTAACATGTATGATGATGATGATGATGACACACCATCTGAAGCCAAGGTGGATTCACTCTCATTTCACAGGCATATGCATGACACTAAAACGAAAACAAACCATGTGTACGAGATGTGTAAAAAGCGGTGATTAGCCTGTGCCCTACTCAAATCCGAAGATGGCCCCTCGGCCCCCTTCTGGAACCAGAGTTGGCGGTGGCCGTTGGGCAAACACTTCATCAACACTACCATCCAGCGCAAAGTCTGACTCAATTATATCTCCACTGAGGCAACTATGCGACATCCATATGCCCATACATACGTATACACACAATGGTGATAGGACATGCGTGTGTGTATTCAAAATGTCTCAATGACTACCGCCAACCTTGGCTCTACTGGATCGGTGCATCAGGGATACGGAAATCTTAGGGGTACACTGTTCACAATGAGATGGAACAATAATTATTCTGGTGGAAGAGGGACGTCAGTCAACATACCTTAGCCATTTCTGGTGTGCGCCAAATGGTCAGATAGTTGGAACGAACGAATTCATCACCAGCGGATACCAGACGTACAGCCCCGACGGCCACTCCGATGCAGCTACTGATGATTAGAGGCAACCGTAGTGCCCTCGAGCCAGCTTTACCGAGCTCAGTCTCCTTTTCTATTACACTTGGGGGCACGGGGAATGGAAGCAGAACAACAAAGGCGTTGCACAGACTGATGCACAAAACACGAGAAATTACATTTTAATTAACAAGTGGTAGGCACTCATGCAAACGGGTGGAGATCACAAATGGAACGAACAAGATAGCCATCGTGGCGGGGCCTTTAAATCGGCCGCTGCTTTTTCCACCGAACATCATCTTTACATTATCTACTATATATATCTCAGTGTTGCAAGAGTACAGCGACAGGTATTTTGTTAAATCAATTTCCAAAGTCACTAAGGCACTTTACTCCCTCCAACTTTGAATATGCGCGCGAGATATCGCACACGATCACTGATACAAAATTCCCTTTTCAATGGATACAAATCCCGAAGGTTTATTCCATCATTTGAGGATTGTTTCTCGATCGATGCATGACAGTGCATCCTCATTTGTAAACTTGGCATTTCTAATGGTAACCCTTTGGTAAATTTACAGTTGATAGTGTAAACGACTGAAAATACACCCTTTTGGTTGCATAAAGCTTATACTGATTTGATTTGAAATAATGGCGCCATTCCATGCACCAATGCCGCCGCACAAAGCACGTGCTTCAAGCATCTTTCTTCCCTCTCCGACTAACAGTCTGTCGTTGACTCTAGCCGTGTATAATAAGTGGATCGAGTTTTTGTGAGTGAGAAAAAAACCGAATAACCGAACGAATTAACAAGCAAACCCAGATGAGCTTAGACCCTCAATGGAACTTGCTGTAACATGGGATGGACGATCCATTATAATGAAGTACGGTCTGCAAACACCACATCAAGTCTCTGTGTCTATCAATTAGGGAACGTAGCTTGTTTCTGGGGGACTATACCAATTGGGGCTCAACTTGTTCATTCCGTCATAGGGAGCTAAGCTGAACTGACACAGGAAGGCTATATAAGACACATTTACCGTCCACTTTGTATGTTTGTTTCCTTTC